GGATCTGGAGTCCAGAGATCCCTCATTAGGGGGGCAGCAATGCTGGCTGGCAGTGCTTTAGCAGGAGCTGCCCTGGCAGCTGGATTTGGGCACTTTCAGGAGCAGGGAGAGGACCTTACATGTTCCTGCTGCTGGAGCTCCAGGAGCCCTTTCCCTCTCTGCCTCGAGCTGCCAGGCTGGCTGTGCTGGATGGCAACATCAGGGAATTCAGGGTATTCCAGGGGGCAAGTCCTCATTTGACAACCTTAAATTCCTCATTTTTCTGCTGTTGTGAGGTCACTGCACAGTTCCTGATGATCTTTACTAAATCTGGAGCTGTTTTAATGCCAGACACAGCCCAGTGAGCTGCTGGCAGTCCCTCTATCCCTCTCCTGCCATCCCCAGCTTTGGGCTCGTGCTGTTTTCTCCCACCCTAGAGCCCAGCTGACCCCTGATCAGGCAGAATTTGGTAACCCTACAGAAAATCCAGCAGTTCCTGGCCTGGGGCAGCTCGTGGGAGGTGTGAGCAGCAGGATGGGGTATCCCACGTGCTGTCCTGCTGTTGTGGGGTGGGACCAGCCTTCAGGACAGCACTCCTGGAGGTGACAGATGACTGTAAAAATAATGCAGCTCCTTTCCCTTCTCTCTGCCCACATTAAACCTGCTCTGTTTTCCCTCTTTGCCTGTTTTCCTCATCTGGAATCTTTCCCCTTTATCTCTCTTCAGTAGTTCTTGCATTAATGCATAATGGGAGAGACAAGGCAACAACCTGCTGTTCCCAGCTGAGGTCTGGGCTTTAAAGTCTTAACAGAAAACACTATCAAGAACCCTCTAGATCAATGTTCTGCTGAAAAAGTTTTCCCAAACTAATCCAAGGAAGGGGCACAGTGTAATGTTTCTTTGAGGTTGAAAGGAGAAAGTGCTAATTTCATGCAGAAAAGCTTGTATCTTGGACTGGCATAGGAATAGAAAATAAATTCGTATTAAATTACTTTCGTTTGCCTCAAAATAATCTAATAAAGCATCTTCTGGATCAATAGCTGAATCATTATCCCAGGCACATAGCAAGCTTTGCCTCTTTTAATTTGAGATTCAAGAAAAGAGGTTTTTGCATTACCATAGTAAAAAGAATAATACTTTAAGTCTTCACAGGAGAAAGGCAGAAGTAGGAAAAAAAAAGATAAGAACCACACTTCGTGCCTTAAGCAAGTGTCATTCTTCATTTGAAACTTGTAATTTATGGGTAGTGTGAAATAAATTTTTATATTTAATGACTGTCAATCTGTCAGTTTTGCTGACAAAAAAATCCAACAACGCAGAGTGAAAGGACTTTGTGTGCAGGAAGGGAGGAGAAGGGCAAGACAAGGCTTTCAACAACTTTGTTCTCCTAATTAAAGCTCCTAGGGAAAAAAATAGGAAAAAGATGGCACAGTTCTCCCCTGAAAAATGCAGTTTCATCAAAAGAAAATGAGATGTGCCAGTGTTGGCTGCAGTGTGCACAGTCCAAACAAGGCTGACGTGGGGAGAAGCTGCAACCACATGCAGACTGTGGCCAAAAAGGCTGGAACCACGGGGTGTGGATTCCAAATGCTGCAAAGGAGCTCAGTTTGTCAAAGCATGGAGTAAATATAGAGAGAACACGGTCAGAATAGGCAAAACCAGACTAAATGTGTGTGTCTGATTATTTAAAGCAGTGAGGCTTCAAATGGGTGCTGGAGTGACCTCAGAAATGACATTAAGGACGTGATGAAGGGTGAAGTTATTCCTGAGACTTGGAGGAGTGGGTGGGCACTGTCAACCTGGGACAGTCCTCAAACTTCTGTCTTGAAAAAAACAGATTTTTTTCATTTTCCTGGAATCAGTTTCCCTGTAATATATTCATTAATGCAGCAGGTGGAACAGGGAGTACAATGTAAGTCCAGGGCACCAAGCTGGGAAGAGATACAAACAGTACAGAGCACTGAATCACAATTCCAAATGATCTTGATAAGTGGGAGAAATGATCTGAAACCAATAGCCTGAGCCTCCCTGCAGGGAAGAGTGACTGAGAAAGGTGAAATCAAATACATCAATTCAGAGCAATCCATAACCAGCTGCACAGCACTGCAGGGCTTTGGGGAAATGGGGTGGGGGAGACTCCCCCAGAGGCAGCAGATATTGTGGTAAAGGGGAGGGTAAGGCTGGACAGGGCTTGGAGCAGCCTGGGCCGCTGGAAGGGTGGAATGAGATGGGATTTAAGGTCCCTTCCAACCCAAACCATGCTGGGATTGCAGCCTCTGCTGATCCCAACACTGAAGTGAGCAGCAGTTTTGTGCTGGAGGTGCTGATGCCAAGACCTCGCGTGCCTTGCCGAAGCAGAGGGGCACAGGGGATGAGCTGCAGCTCATTGTCCTCGCTGCTTTCTGCTTTATTGTCCCGCAGGGATTTGCCTGGGGCGCTTCCCTGTGCAGAGCTGGCAGCGCTCTTGGCTTCTCGTGTTCCCTGTCAGCATCTCTGTGTGGGTGAGGAGCAAACTGAGCCAAAACTTTTGATGAGGAGCGTTTGCAAAAGAACCCAAAGCTTCCCATGACCCTGTCGTGGGTGAGGATTGGAGCTGGGCCTCGAGCTGGTGACAGATTTATGGGATTTTTCCCAGTACCTGAGTGGTGTTGCCAGTTTCCAGTGTAACAAGATCCCACGAGGGTGAGTGGCTTTGGAGTTGCTCCTGTTCACGTGATGGGATGAACTCCCAGCTCCGGAGCAGGCAGGGCTGCAGAACCCATCCCTCCCGGAGGAGAGCAGCCCTTGCTCCAGGAAGTGCACACAGACACTGCAAGAGCTGATTTTTCCTTTTCTTTCAATCATTCACCACTGGATTTGCTTTGTTCCAACTCTCCGTGGATCCTGCAGCTTTTGGGGAGCTCTGACACCACAATTCCCAGGCTAAGGAGTTTTGTTTTCATGGTGCCTCAGCATTGTCAGGCAAACAACTCCAGCACGTGCAGCTGCTCTGGAGGATCCATCTGACTGTGCCTGAGCCTTCTGCTTTTCTTCTGGAGCTGCTGGAGGGGAAACTTGCTGCACATCAGCACAGCCTCCTGCTTTGGGGAGGGCTACAGCTCCTGTGTTCTGTGTGCTTTCCATGAGCTTTTGATAAATAGCGACCTCCTGCCAGCCTTGAGATCTCTGTTTGCCTCTTCTGATGTCTCCAGCCGTGTCTTGGGTGTTTGGCTTTGACTGAAACACTCTCAGGAACTGACGTGGTGCAACAGTGGGATTTGTAGTTCCTGAATCCTGCCTGGCTGATCCAAGAGGAGGAGGAAGGGGAGAACCTCCTGTCTGTGCCACTCTTCAGCTCTGCACCTTCAGGCTGCAGCTGCAGCTCTGGACCCCCACCCTGCTGAAGGTGAGGAGAGAACCTCCCCCTGTGGCCGTGCCTTTGGCGTGGGAACACTTTTGAGGAACTACAGAGGGTTAAACCCACATTTCTGAACACAGCCCAGCCAGAGTCACATGCACCAGGGAGATTTTGCAAGTCAGTGCTTGCAGCCCAGGGTGAGGAGAGGGAGGCAGGGGCATAGGTCTGGGTAATCCCTGGTCCTGGGAGGCACAGGGGACAGAGGGACCTCATCCAGCACAGGCTGGGACCTTCCTGCTCAGGGGTGGCACATTGTGGCACCTGTGCAGTGCAGAGTGGGACAGTGGCACATGAAGGACAGGCAGGAGGAGGAGGCTGAGCTGCATTCCCAGCACCAGGAGTGAGCTGGAACAGGTAAGGCTGTGCTGGCTGCTCTGGGAAGGAGGCAGAAGGGCCTGCTGGGTGTTTCTCTGCTCTTTAGTGAGGGCTTGGAGGTGTCCAGAAAAGCAGGAAGTCAATTCACCAGAGGGATGTTGGCATTGCATAAAGAATAAGAAGAAATTTAGAGAACACAGAGCCTGAGAGAGCTGGAGAGGAGAGGCTGCTCCTCGAGGGGGCTCAGGAGGGGTCAGAGGAGGTTTGGGGGGGACCCGGATCCCCAAATGGGCAGTTCTGCTGGAAAAGGCAACAGAGCCAAACTGTGCTGCACTAAGAGGTAAAAGCAAGGCTGCTTTGATGAGGAGCTCCCAGCATTTGGGGGAGGCTGTTTCCCTCCTGGGGATGGCTGAGCTGCTGCACCTTCACTGTCCCCTCCTGGGAACTGCCCTCCAGAGGCCCCAGATTCTCATCATCTGAGCCAGAGAGCTTTGATTCATCTCCAAATGGATGTGCCAGCAGCAGCAACAGAGAGCTTGGTTTTATTCAGGTTTTTCTTCAGTTCCTAATCAGTTTTTTCTTTCGTTTTCTCTATTTTTTCACTCTTTGCTTCTGTCTTCCGTGGGCTTTTCTGTCTTGACACTCCCTTCTTTTGAATGGCAAAAGAGGGAAAGGAGTGAGAAAATCCAGTCTGAATGCTCCTTTTGATGCTGGGATGTTCCCTGTGACACGTGGTGCCCATGATCCTCCTGGCAGAGCTGTGCCCAGGGGAGCCTCTGCTCACCTGTGCAGGTGAAGAGCAGGTGCTGTGCCCGTCCTGTGTGCACACACTCACTGCTCTGATCCTTTAAGTGAGAGTTCTCAGCCCTTTTGGGTTTTATTTTCCCTGTGATCAGAAGAATTTCTCGTGTTGTTTCTCTTGCCTCCATTTCCTTTCTGGCATTCTTCAACCAGGGACTGTTCTGGCTTTGTGCAAAAGCAATACAGCCATAACCATCAGAAAATAAAACCAGAAAAAAAGTCAGAAATAAAGCAATCCCCTTTGGAAGGAGAGTGGGTGACATATGTGAGGGATCCTCCCACCAAGAGACAGCAACAGGCTCCTGGTTTGAGCAGAGGTTAAAAAGTAAGTGGTGGTTTTGGAGAGCTGGAGTGGAAGGTAATTGAAAAGTAAACTCCAGAGTCTTCCAAGCATTTAACAGCCTCCCACAGGCGCTGGCAGGAGGTCAGAGAGCTGTGTCAGCAGGGAAAAAACACCTGGAAAACCTTGGGCACAATGCCTGCTGTGAGAACTTCCCTGAGGAGAGGGGAGAGGAAAACAGAGGAGAGGGGAGAGGAGAGGGGAAAGAGATGAGAGGGGAAGGGAAAAGAGATGAGAGGGGAAGGTAAAAGAGAGGAGAGAGGGAAACATGAGAGTGAAAAGGAAAGCAGAGACCCTCCAAGGCTTCACTGCTGCTGGGTGGGAGCTCCTGCTTGACCCTGCCTTCAGCAGATGCGTTTTTCTGCCTAATGTGCCCTTCTGTCCCGGGGTGAGGATCTGTCCCCATGTCACTGAGCAGGAGGGGCATTTCCACCATCTCCAGGTTCTTCTGAAGGTGATGGCAAAGAGGCTTGGCAAGGAGAAATCCTATCTGTTCCTTGGTAATTGCAAAATGTGAATGCTGAAGGATGTCAGGATAATTTAAGAAATATTTAAGGAGAACTTTTCCACCTTTCAGCAAGAAGCAAACACAAAAAGTGATTCTGTGTGTTCTGAGCTTGCACCGGGCAACACCAGGTGCTGACATCCCCCAGGAGCACAGACATTGCTGTTAGCCTTTATTTGCTGTCTCTGCAAGATTTGGGGTGTTCTTTTTCTCTTTTCAGAGCTAAAAAATGCCTCGTGGCTCATGGAAAGCAGGGACCCCAGGAAGGCAGCAGTGGGAGTGCGAGTGAGGGTTTCACAATCTGCTCCCCCCTCTGCTGCTGGGGGGATGTGTTGCTTTGTGTTTCAGCTTTCTGATCGTTAACAGATTCTCTTTACAGTTTCTCACACTCTTTCTTGTAAATAATGATTGCTTTGCATTCCTCTTTGGAGGAAGAGAGAATTGATAGATTGTTGATAAGACCTATGGGGTCAGGAGGTATTATCCTCACTAGCCAATCCATGGTCATTGTTAAAATTCTATAAATAGACATATAATGTAAATAAAGTAGTTCTTTTCCTGCTTGATTCCTCGGAGTGTGTCTTTCCTTTTGTGCCATTAAGCCACTGGGCTGCTTGGTGCTTCCCAGCAGGGTGAGAGAGAAATGCTGAAATAGAGAGAAGAATGCTGAATTTCTGACCAGGAAACACAGAATCCTTCAAGGAGACCCACCTTCAGCATGGCCCAGAAAAGCCAAACGGGTGGAACTGAACAAAATGAGTCCTCCCTCCTGTACAGCAAGGGTGATTTCAAGGAAGGAGCCCTGCAGTGGGTGACAGGTAAGGGAGCAGCTCATTGGTAATGGGGGAGGCAGATCTGAGCTCAGTGTCCTTAAAATAACCACTGACAGATTTTATCAAAGATGCTCTTTAGCAGCATCTCACTTGTGATAGAATCAAAACATTGTGGATGTTTCAGCATTTTGGGAAGGGGATGGAGATGCTTTGGGGTTTTTTTGGAATGCATGATATGCAGAAATGAATGAACCAACCTATTGATGAACAGCCCCCTGCGAGTCCTCTCCTCTTGGCCTTTGAAGTTGAGAAATCCTTGGGAAACTTGGCCTGTGCTGGGGGCAGCAGGGGAGGGGGATTCTGCCCCTCTGCCCCTGGGCTCAGGTGAGACCCCACCTGCAGAGCTGCCCCAGCCCTGGAACCAGCACAGGAAGGAGCTGGAGCTGCTGGAGAGATCCAGAGGAGGCTCCAGGGGGATCAGAGGATGGAGCAGCTCTGGGATTGTTCACCTGGAGAAAAGATTTGGTTTGATCTCAATGTGACCTTCCAGTGCCTGAAGGGGCTGACAGGAAAGATGGAGTGACAGGACACAGGGAATGGCTCCCACTGCCAGAGGGCAGGGCTGGATGGGATCTTGGGCAGGAATTGTTCCCTGGCAGGGTGGGCAGGCCCTGGCACAGGGTGCCCAGAGCAGCTGTGGCTGCCCCTGGATCCCTGGCAGTGCCCAAGGCCAGGTTGGACACTGGGGCTTGGAGCAGCCTGGCAGCAGGCAGGGCCATGGATTTTTGAGCTCCCCACACTCTTCACCAGGGTCCCCTTTTTGCTCAAAGTGTCCCCAGAAGCAGCCAAAGAACATCTGACTGACCCTGGAGCTGCAAAGGGGAAGGAAATTTGGGTGAAACCTTTCAGTGAAGCAGGATTTCAGCTGAACCAGCCACTTCCTTAGCCCAAAACTCTTCCTCTCGCTGTGGCACAGCTTGTGTAAGCTCTAGGTGGGTGCCAGATGGGCTGCCTGGAGATCACAGCTCTCCCCTGCTGCTCCTCAAATCTAGGACAGGCTGTCCTCACACTTTTTAGGCTCCTGACTTGAGTCTCTAGGATGCCTCTCTGATCCTGAGCTGACACTGGAGGAGCCTTGAGCAGAGCCACGCTCCAGGAACGCTGCTGGAGAGGGGACCTGGCTGCTGGGGGGTCTGGGGGTGCTCCAGGGCAGCCCTGCCACATCCCCAAGCAATTACTGCAAAGCAATTAATGGCTCAAGTTGGTTTTTGTGGTGGGTGGGCAATGGGGGGGGGTCTCCAAGTGGGAAATGAGCCTCAGCACCACGGAGCAGCCTGAGCCCAGTGTCCTTCCATGGTTGTGCTGCAGATCAGACTCCTGTCACCTCCTGTCTTGTCCTGTGTTGTCCTGTGATCTCCTGTCCTCTCCTGTCACCTCCTGTGCTCTCCTGTGCTCTCCTGTGCTCTCCTGTTATCTCTGACTGCTCACTCCTGGGACGTTTTTGGGGTTTCCTCCCTCTCTGCACTTTTTCCTTCCAGGGCATCCCAGGCTGCTTCCAGAGCTCCTTAGCAATGGCCAAGGATGGTTGTGGCTGAGTTTCAAACACACCAGGGTGGTTTGTGTTCTCAGCCTCCCCTCTGCCAGGTGCTGCTGGGCTGTGGGATGGATCCCCCAGTGCTGTGCTCATGGTGCTTTGGGCTCTTGCAGACCCTCCCCAGGGCCGGGTGCTGCTGGTGCTCAGCATGGACAACACCTGCCCCACCTCCTCCTTTGACATGGACCTTTGTGCCCAGAAACTGCAGGCCCTCGGGGTCCAGGTGAGCTCTCTGGAGTTAATCCCAGCTGGATTTGCATGATTTGCATTTACACCCACGTCCCAGATGGCTGTGGGTTTTTTTGGTTTGAGAGGAGCTTGTTTCAGTCCAACTTCAGTCTATTCCCTGTGGGCTGGAAGTCAACTGGGATGAACTTGGCTTAAAGCTCCATGAATAAACTCTTTGAAGAGTTATTTTGCTTAAAATTCACTCTGATAGAGCAGAGCATCCCTGGGACATCTGCTTTGCCTTGTCCTTCATCACAAAAAGGCGTTTTCTTCCCTTGGGACTCTCCCTGCCCTTCCCAGACAGGTTTTACTCACTGCAGCTGAGGCAGGAAGACAAGTTTTGGGTCTGTAGCAGCTCTGGGGATGGGATTGGAGATTTCTCTGGGGATGGGACTGGAGATGTTCCCTCTGTGTTTGGGTTTGGAGATGTTCCCTGTGGATGGGATTGGAGATGTTCCCTGTGTTTGGGATTGGAGATGATCCCTGGGGATGGGATTGGAGATGTTCCCTGTGTTTGGGATTGGAGATG